GACTCATCCCTAAATTTTGCTGATTATGGTAAACGAATCATCATTTAAGATAGGCAATCCCAACCTGGTGTGGTTCGTTTAACTGCAGGTTGTAGCCTGTCATTGTACTTTGATTGCCTTTTCTCCCGTTTACCTTTTACTTCCTCTCCCTCTTGTTTGGATTTCTATTTTGGTTAGTGTAACTTTTCTATTTGTTTTTAGAGCTGTTGGTTGAGGGATGGCCTGCATTATTATTTTGCATAAGTTAGATCCGGGAAAAAAAATGGACTAACAAAAGACTTGCTACAGAAAATGTAGAACTGGTCTATCACAGGGGAAAAAATAGAAAAACCCATCCCCTGTTAAACTCCCTGCTGTTTGAAGTTGGAGAATGTTTAATGTGGCTGAATATGCCTGTTTGTCTTAAGACTTGGAACCAAAAAACAAAAAAAAAAATATTTGCTGTTAAACTCCCTACTGTTTGAAGTTGCAGAATGCTTAGTATGGCTGAATATGCCTGTTTGTCTTGAGACTCATTCCCAAATTTTAACCTGGTGTGGTTCGTTTAACTGCAGGTTGTAGCCTGTCATTGTATTTTGATTGCCTTTTCTCCTGCTTACCTTTTAGTTCTATTTTTATTGCCTCATGGTTTGCTTGAATGCCTACATTTATACTTCCATTTTATTTTCTTCAGACTATGTGGTCTGAGCATGCTGATAGGGTGTTACGTGTGCCTGAGGTTAATTCTTGCATGGTTTGTTGGACATCTCAAGTCCAACTTGTTGAGGCATCGCACGTTAAGACAACTTGTGGCAGTGGACTAGCAAAGAGATTTCGTATCTTTGTTTTTTCTGATTTTCAGGTACAGTTTTATGTTATTTCTTGTTTATTTTTCTTTTGTTCTTTTGCTGATTTTGGATTTGTCTATTTTAGGGTGTTAAGGTGACTGCACTTGCGATCGATGAGAACATTGATCGTGTTACCAATCTTCTTGTGCCGTTCAAGGAGTATCGCATTTCAAGAGCTCGTGTTCATGAGATACCTGACTGTTCTTTGGATGTTGGTTCTTATCGCTTTTATTGGGTTTTAACTGCTGAAACTGTGATTGAGGAGGTGATCGTAGTTGACCCTCCAAAGCTCCCATCTTATTTTCGTTTGCGCTCTATTGCTTCATGTGATACTGTTGCTAACACAGAAAATTTCATAGGTAGCTTTATTTTTTGCTGAGTTATTTTCACTCTTTTTCTTGAATTTCTTGTGCCTATACATTTGCTTTTCTCTGAATTTATCTTGTTTGAGGATTCACAGATGTCATGGGAATTGTTTTGTGTGCATTTCCTGCTAGAGAAGTGTATTTTGAAGGAGGGCCATCTGTTGCACGCGACTATGTTATTGTTAACTATGAGTTCGTATTGCTTTTTCTCCCCCCTCTGTGTATTGATTGTATCATTTGTATTCAGGCTAATAATGAGTATTCTTTGTTTTTCCTTCTGTGTTTAGACTTAGGCCTATAATCTTGACTCTCTGGAATGAGTTTGAATCCGTAGAAGGTTCTGAAATAATGGCTAATATTGCACAGAATCCAGTTTTGATATGTATCCGCCTTAGGGTGCTTACGGATAACTGTAAGGTTCTTTATGTTATAGATAGCTTTTCTTGTTTTATCTGTGCTTTTTTTTTTTTTAGTTTGGTTTTGGCTGAGCTTTGTTCTCTTGATCTCTCAATGTTCAGATCTATCATTATCAACTCAGTCTTCGTCTGTGATATTGGTCTCGCCGATTGTGCAAGAATCTGGGAACTTGCGGTCATGGTCTGTTGCTTTTGGCTTCTTTGATCGTTTCCTTATTTTTTGTTCTCTATTTATCTTTTTTTTTTATTATTACTTTGCTTTAACAAACTGCTATAATTTGATTAGGTTTCAGGCTAATAGTTCGGAGCTCACACAAATGGTTCACGAAAGGAGTTATGCTAATCCATATGTATTGCTTCCCCCAGTTGCTTCTAATCGTATAAGTCAGATCTCATACATTGGTCAGGCAACCAACTTTGTAAGTTCGCTATTATGTTTTTTGAATGACGATATAGTCTTTCTCTGTACATTTTTTCATGCCTACCTTTAGTATACCATAACTTTTCCCCTTGCTGTATATATTACTCACCACAGGACATAGGTACTGCTTGGATAAAAGGCACAATTTCTCTTGAATATAGGATGGGTAGGCTATGGTATCTAGCCTGTCCGCATTGTTATCTTCCTAATGATTTTTCTTCAAGCTGGGGTATTATGTGCCGCTATTGCAGCCGAGACATTTATACTTTTCCTAGGTATAGTGCTCTTGTGGTAGCCTCTGTTATGTTTTTTTTAGAATTCAGCTTGTTCCTGCGATTTTTATTATGTGTTGCTGTTTTTTGAGGCCTCTTTGTTTTGTTGAGTTGCTTTTGTGTTTGTAATGTAAGGGCTTGTGTGACTCTTACTATCAAAGATGAGACCGGTTCAGTCAATGCAATTGCCATGGGGGACGAGGCCGAGAAGCTGATAGGTATCAATTCTTACCGTTTGTATCAAGCTGACCAAGAGGTACTGTTATTTTCCTTGCTGTACATATAGTTTTAGTCCCTAATGTCGTTACTTTGTTTTTTTCCCTATGGTAATGAGCCATTGCTTCCAATTTGTCAACAGAATGTTCATCTTACTGATCATGTGGCAAATGCACTTAAGGGAAGAGTAATGCTGTTCTATGTTAAGCATTCGAGCCACGCTGTGAGGGCTACAAAGGGTGCTCGCTATACAATTGTCACTTCCTATGATATCGATGAAGTTGAAGCGATCGCTGCCTGATTCCCTTTAGATCTTAGTATATGCTTCCGTAGATTGCTTTTGGATGTATGGCTCATATTCTATAATGTATCAAACTCTGTTTGGCTATTTCCGTTAGGCTGACTTATGGTAGATTTGTAGTGGAGTTGGTTTTTTGGCTTGTAACTGCTCAGGAATTTTGCACTTTTAGATCTTAATCAATGCTGAGTTTCTCATGGCTTAGATGTTATTTGGGCCATGCTTTTGTTCTATCTCTGTTTGTTTCTATTATACAATTTGGCTTCTTTGTAGTTGAAAAGATTGGTGTAATCAGGAAGAATGCAGTATGTTTTTGGGTATCTTTGTATCCTTTGTGGATTTCGATCCCTATGCAGTTTGTTTGTTTCCAGAAAATGCAATGATGATGACTAAGATTCTCAGCAATAGCCTAATCAATATTTTTTTCATAAGCCAATTAGAAAGCGCAGACTGTTGAGTTATGACAGATTAGCTGGTTAACTGAGTTCAAGGAGCTAGATTGATTGGCCTATGTTTCCTTATAAAGAATCAACTCCTCTGTGGTTGAAAGGATTGGTGTAATCAGAACAAATGCAGTATATTTTGGGTATCTTTGTATTCTTTGTGGATTTCGATCCCTATGCAATTTGTTTGTTTCCAGACAAAACAAATATAATGACTAAGATTCTCAGCAATGGCGTAATCAATATTTCCCTGCTAAGCCAATTAGAAAGTGCAAACTCTTGAGTTATGACAGATTAGCTGGTTAACTGAGTTCAAGGAATCAAGGAGAAAAGGTTCAAATGCAATTTTTTCCCGTAGAGTAGTTGGTTACAGAAGCTTTATACAAATAGACTGATTACCTTGAGAATTTTTTAGAGAAAAACAAAAAAGAATAAAAATAGCTTTATCTATTTAGAAGTTTGTTTTACCTACAAGAAACGTCTTGCAAGAAATGACCAACTATGTGTCAAACAAAACAACAAAAAAAAGGACAATTTGAATGGACCTGTTTTTAATGTCCATCTTATACAGGTGCTGTATCCTGAATTTCTTGCAGTTAGACAGCTTTTTCCTGTAAAGCAATCTGATTCCCTTGCAGTTATACAGGTACTATAAACTGATTTCTGCATCTATGTCCCCTTCTTTTGGTTACTCAGTCATTTAATACCCTGGAACATGGATTTCAGCTTGTACTTACCTGCTGATACTTTTGTTTTTTTCCCCCCATTTATGGTGTAGGCTGCTGTATGTGCTACGGGAGATATTGCTAGGTGATCCATTGTGGTTAGGTGTGAAAACGAAAAGGTTAGAATCCTGCAGATTCTTCTCCTTTTTTTTTTGTTCATCAGGAATATACTTATCCTACCTAGAACACAGGTTTGTTTCTGTTCATTCTCTATAGAATATAGATGAAAGTATTTCTGTTATTACCATCTATGCATTTAGACACATTTATCTAGACCTATTGCATATATTTGCTTTAGTTGTTTTATACCATGCTGCTCTATCAATGAACCTCTTATGGCTACGATTTCAACTTGTTCTATTTGGAGCTTTTTACATGGTATATCTGATATCATACTTCTTTTTTTTTTTAGCCACTGAGTAGTTAAACAATCTATTTGTTGGCTATGAAAGCTGCCATGCTAAGTCTTTTTCTTGCTTTACTTGGCCATGATAATGTCCCTAATGACTGTGTCTGTTTCTAGACAGAGGATTGCTTGCCAACTTATAATTTTTCTGTTTTCACATGCATTTTCTCCTGTTTGTTTTCCCTGTCAGATAGCTCTCCATAGTTCAAGTGAACTTGAGAATCTGCTGAAACTTGTTTTTTTCCATTCTCATGTTCTTTTTTGACCCATTGAAGACAATCAGGTATTATTAAGTTGAAATATACTGTTTATGTTTTCCATCAGGTTCCTTAGTTCATTTCTCTCTTTTCATGCCTTAGTCTCAACTGATGCTGTGCTATTTTGAGTTTTACTTTGCCAGTTGACTTTTCCTTTTTCCTATTTAGTTAGAAACACTTTTGATTATGCATTTATATGTTTCAGTTTATGCATTCGTTTGCTAATTGTTTATTTTAAAATAGCTGCCCTTTAGTGTTTTACCCTTTAAAAAAATAGTTACCCTCTAATCTATTAACTTACTATATGAAATACTATAGTTAGTTTCTTTCATGGACCGCAATACCGTTAGACGTATGCATTATGCTAATATGCCAAAAGAGAAAAAGGATGAGTTGTTGCAGCGCAGACGGGAGCGGTATGCTAGAAATAAGACAACTGATATGCATCCTGCTGAGGCTTCTGTCTATTCACCTATACCAGAGGAACAAAAAAATAGAAAACGTCAATGCAGAAAAGAGTTAACTGCTTTGGAAAAGCTGAAAAAGATTGCCCCTACTGAGGCCTCTACTCCTGTATGCAATGTTCCCAAGTCTATCCGCTCCCCAAAAAACAGTAGTTCCTCTGCTAAGGAACCTTCAACAGGGCAATGTCTGAATAGTTCAGTACCTGAGCCATGCAGCTCTGAACCGCAGCCAATTCTTAGCAATAATGAATTAACTGATCTGTTTGATAGCATATCAACAAAACTCCAGTCTTCTTTACCTGTTTCAACTAACCAGGCTACTGTCCGTGAAGGTACGCTGCTCAGTCTATCCTATGTTTCTTAACAAAGCAGTGTTTGCTTATTTGCATTCCTTCTTTATAAACATTTCTAATGCTTATGAGGCATTCGATAAACTTGTTATTCCAGTTCATGATAACTCCTTGGTAGACGAAGGAACCTGTATTGTCAATGTTGCTCCATGTGCTTCTTCTAAACATAGTAGTGGCCAACAAATTGTTGTTAACACCCAACTTGCGAACACAGGTTGGTTTTAGTCTATAGTATAAAGTTGCTATGCCTTAAAAATGCTGCAGATTATATTGTTTTTCCTTTTTTACCCTATAAATTGATAAATATATTGTTTGGTGCGGTGTTAGGTAGGCAACGAAGGTCCAAAAAAACCAGTTTTTCTCGCTTGAAGCAGATTCCAACCGAATCATTGGTCCTTCCTGATGCTCCAAAGTGTCAGCACTGTGGGGCTCATCGATTCCATTTGGAACCTCCAAATTTTTGCTGTTCAGGTGGAGAGGTTTCTGTTGTTCATCCTGTGATGCCTTATACCCTCTTCCGCCTTTATTCTGGTACAGATGAGGAGTGTATTCACTTCCGCAAGAATGCACGAACCTATAATAACAACCTTGCCTTCACCACTTTTGCTGCAAAATATGATAGAAAAATGACTAAAAATCCTCAGGGAGTTTACACTTTCCGCGTCCAAGGTCAAATTTATCATCTTCTTAATAGTCTCACACCAAATGGCCACCCTGCTACTGGTATCCAGCTGTACTTTTATGATCAAGATGAAGAATTGTCACAGAGACTCAATACTTCCCCAAGATTACGGGAGAGTACTCTTAAGCTTCTGATGGGTATTCTTGAGCAGAATCCTTATACCAAAGTTTTTAAGTCTTTAAGAGAGCTTCCTAATCTAGATAACCATAGCATATTTCTTAATTCCAACCCAGGCCTTGACCAACGGTTATATAATATGCCAACAGCTTCAGAAGTCGCTGCAATATGAACAGAGCATGATAGTGAAACCTTAGAGAAGGGCACCAACATACAGGTTTATAGTCATGCAAATACAAGCCATAGAATCCAACACTATTTTGCATGCTACGACTCTTTGCAGTACCCACTATTGTTTCCCAGAGGTGAATCTGGTTGGCACTACGGCATTCCAAGAAACACTACTGCTAACAAAAGAAAAAGGCAAGAAACTGATGATCACAGCCATGTTGCTTTACCTAAGATAGGAAATGCTATTGATCTTATTCAAAAGGAAAATGAAGGTAAGTTTCGCTAAATTCTGTTTTTCTCTTTTATTTTTTTATGCTTGCTTATCGCTTTCTGCTACTTCAATCTATTCTTTCTTTCTTGTTTAAAATTCTTTTAAGGTTGTCCTTTCAATATATATTTTCTTTGATTCCTGAGTTTTTTAAAAAAAGAACTGAGGGTCTTAGCTTTTGCTTTTCTTGTTTTAGTTGCTGAGGAGGGAAAGAAAAAACGGGAAACTATTTCTGCTCGAGAGTATTATTGCTACAAATTACAGATCAGAGATGATGACACCTCAATGCTCTTGCACACAAGGAGACTATTGCAGCAATTCTCCGTGGATATTTATGTTAAGATCGAGACTTCGAGGCTTGAATTCCATAGGAAAAAACAAAAAGAAATCAGAACTGAGATTCTTAAAGGTGTAACAGATAGCATCTCTTCTGGTCAGACTAACGGCGGTAAAGTTGGGCGACGCATTTATCTTCCATCTTCCTTTATTGGTGGTCCAAGGGACATGAGACGGAGGTATATAGATGCTATGTCTTTGGTCCAGAGATTTGGTAAGCCTGACATATTCATTACTATGACTTGCAATAGGATGTGGAAAGAAATACAGGACAATCTAAAGTATGGAGAAGAGGCTCAAGATAGACCTGATTTAGTTTCAAGAGTGTTTAGAGCAAAGCTGGAATTATTAAAAGCTGAAGTTACAAAAAAAAAGATATTTGGTGAAGTGGCTGCCTGTGTGTATGTGATTGAGTTTCAAAAGAGAGGCCTTCCTCATGCTCATATGTTGATTATTTTAAAGCCAGAATATAAGCCCCTCAATCTTGAAGCTTATGACATGATAGTTTCGGCCGAAATACCAGATCCTTCTAAGCAACCACATTTATACTCTTTGGTTATGAAGCACATGATGCATGGTCCATGTGGTTCATTAAAAAAGGATAATGTTTGTATGAAAGATGGGGTGTGCAAGAACCATTATCCAAAGAGTTTTAGTGACTACACAACTTATACAGAAGATGGTTATCCTCACTATAAAAGAAGGATGGATTGTCGCTGTGTAAGAGTGAGGAATCATTTGTTGGATAATAGGTGGGTTGTTCCGTACAGTCCGTATCTTCTGGCTTTGTTTGACTGCCACTTGAATGTAGAGATATGTTCCACTGTTAAGTTGGTTAAGTATCTTTACAAATATGTGTATAAAGGGCATGATCGTGTGAGCTTTTATATCCATTCTGAAAATACCTTTGAAGATGTTGATGAAATTTTAGACTTTCAGTCTGGCCGCTGGGTGGCTGCTGCAGAGGCTTTTTGGCGGATATTTCGATTTACTTTAAACGAAATGACCCCGAGTGTCTATGCATTACAGGTTCATCTTCCTGGAGAGCAAATGGTTTCTTTTCACAGAAGAACCAATCTTGCTGATTTAGTTGCTGATGTTGACTTCTCAAAAACGATGCTAACTGAGTTCTTTTATATGAATCAGACAAATAAAGATGCTCAGAAACTCAATCTCCTTTACAAACAATTTCCTGAGTTTTTTGTATGGAGCCCAAACAAGAAACGGTGGTCTAAAAGAAAGCGTCGAAAAGTTGTTGGAAGATTGGTGACAGTTAGCCCAGCAGAAGGAGAAAGGTATTTCTTGAGACTGCTTTTATCCTGTATCTGTGGCCCTACTTCGTTTGACTGCTTGTTGATTGTTAATGGAGTCCGTATGGCTTCTTATAGAGAAGCCGCTTTCCAGATGGGTCTGTTACAATCTGATACATATATCGAAGACACCCTTGATGAGGCTGCTACTTTTCAGATGCCTTCTTCACTTAGAAGCTTGTTTGCTGTGATGCTAAGTTTCTGCTCCCCGTCAAATCCCAAATACTTGTGGGAAAGATACGAGTCTGAGCTATCAAGGGATTATCAAAAAAATAGTTCACTCACTGGATATACTCCTCAGTACATCAGAATGCTGGTACTTCAGGAGATCAGTAAATTTTTGGAGCAAATGGGTAAAAGCATGGATGACTTTCACTTGGTTCCTGACTACCTTGGTGTTACATTAGATCAACGAATTACAAAAGAAATTGAAACTGAAAGGAATATTCAGTTCACAGAGGAGGATCTGCTACTGTCTTCGAAGCTTAATGCCGGTCAGAAATTTGCCTACAACTCTATCATGAAACAGGTTTTCTCACCAAAAAAACAAAGTTTTTTCATCGATGGGCTAGGTGGGACAGGGAAAACTTTCCTTTATCGGTCAATACTTGCTACTTTGCGTTCTCAAGGCTATATAGCCATTGCTGTTGCATCGTCTGGCGTTGCTGCCTCTATACTTCCTGGTGGGAGGACTGCACATTCACGCTTTAAAATCCCTCTTGATATATCAGGAAATAAGTCTTGCCAAGTTAGTAAGCAAAGCTCAACCGCTAAGTTGCTTATAGAGGCCAAACTTATATTGTGGGATGAAGCTTCGATGGCTAAAAAGGAAACAATCGAAGCATTTGATATGCTTCTGAAAGACATAATGGAATGCGATGATCCTTTTGGTGGCAAGCTGGTTGTTTTTGGAGGTGACTTTAGGCAGACTCTACCTGTGATTAAAGATGCAACAAGAGACGTTTTAGTTCTGTCAAGTTTTGTCAACTCGCATCTATGGACTACTTTGTAGAAGATTATTTTATCAGAAAATATGAGAGCTGTCATGGATCATTCTTTCTCTGAATTCTTACTGCGGATAGGTGAGGGACGCGAACCAGAAGACGAAGATGGCAAAATATCTTTATGTAAGGATATGACAATCCCTTATGATGGAAAGGAGGCTTCTCTTAACAGGTGAACATCTTTTTGTATAGTATTTTTGTATCATGTATATATATGATTGTACAGCTTTCAGTTTTCCCTCACTTTTTGTTCTGACTTTGTTTTCACTTGCCAGGTTAATCGAATCTGTTTTTGGTGATCTGAATGTGTATTCTTCGGATCCATATCAGATGATTAATCGATGTATTCTATCAGGAACAAATAATGCTGTTGATGATGTTAACCAGCTCATTATTGATAGATTTCCTAGAGATCCGCATACTTATATAAGTTCTGACAGAACTCTTAACGAAAGAGATCAAGGAGACTATGAAGACTTTCTCAATTCTTTAAATCCAAAGGGGTTACCACCTCATAAGTTGATCTTGAAAGAGAACTGTCCAATTATTCTGCTCAGAAACTTGAACCCAATGGAAGGCCTTTGTAATGGTACCAGGCTTATATGTAGAGAGCTGCGCCACAACACTATTTGTGCAGAGATTGCAGTGGGTCAGTACCGCGGTAAAAGAGTTTTCTTGCCAAAGATTCCTCTCCAAACTTCTGACAGCGAAAAGAATGGCATCCCCTTTAAGAGAACTCAGTTTCCTGTCAAGTTATGTTTTGCAATGACGATTAACAAGTCTCAGGGGCAAACTCTGGATTATGTAGGGATTTACTTGCGCGAACCTGTTTTCTCTCACGGCCAATTATACGTTGCCATTTCTCGTGCAAAAAGTTCATCTGCAGTTAAAGCACTGATAGTTCCAGCAACGTATCGAGACGTAGTTACTGAGTGCAAAACTAGAAATGTTGTCTTTCATGAAGTTCTTGAATTAGCTAGACAGTAGCATTTATTTCTGGTTTTTTTTCCCCCATTTGTCATTTTGTTCCCTTAAATGCTTTATTTTCTGGTTTGTGTTCTCTTTAGTAATTATATTACTACATTGTCTCGATTAAATGCCTTACAATTCCCACAAAACAATTCTCCGATTTTCCGGTTTGCTTTGACCGTTTGCTATGACCGTGTGCGGTTTCTTACAGGTTTGCAAAACTAGAAATGTTGTCTTTCATGAAGTTCTTGAATTAGCTAGACAGTAGCATTTATTTCTGGTTTGTTTTTTTTTTCCCCATTTGTCATTTTGTTCCCTTAAATGCTTTATTTTCTGGTTTGTGTTCTCTTTAGCAATTATATTACTACATTGTCTCATGAATTGTACATTAAAGCTTCCCCTTTTTTTATAGAATGGTGAATCTGCTTTCCATTGCTGATATCAAGCCAAAAATGAGGGGTTGGTCAGCGCATGTTACTGTTCAGGAAAAAATGCATATCGCTTCTTCACAGAAATCCCCTACAAGATACCAAAAATTTGTTTTCTCTGATAACCAGGTACGAATCAAACTCTGCAATACTTTATCTGTCCTATCCTTTGCATTAGCCAAGTCACCCCATGGAGTTAGCATATTTTTTTTTAATCTAATATCAGGGATCAAGAGTTGAGGGAATTATGTTTAATGCTGCTATTGAAAAGATGGGGTCAAAGCTTCATACTTTTAAGAAGTATCTGATATCAAATGCCGATGTTAAAGAAATTGAGGAACAGTATCAAACTAATGGCCTTACTATTCAATGGGTAATAAGTGCAAAAACTGTGGTTGAGGAGCTGAGTGAACAGGGAAGCTGTGTTTTGACTAACGAGTTTACCCCTATAAGCTTTAAAGACTTGGCCAGTTACGCTGATTCAAAGTCACAAACTGTTGGTCAGTATGCGTTCTTCTTCTAATCAATTGCAATGTCATCGATACAAGAACTTTGATTGAAAATCCAGTTGCTCACTTCTTTGCAATGTTTATCAGATATTATGGCTGTGGTTGTTGACTCAATGCCTGTGATTCCAATCAAAAGGGATTCACAGGAATCCTTTGTCCAGAGATTTCTCATTGTGAATGAAGAGTATACATTTTCTCTCCAATCCATAATCTTCCATTCATCAATAAGAAATTATTTAACAATCTTATCTAGCAAGTATTCCTTGCTGTCGTTTTGAATGCTAGGATGGTCCCTACTGTTCTATCTCTATGGAATACATTTGTTGAAAATGAAGGAAAGCTGCTTACAGATCACCACAACAAGCATCCAGTTCTTATATGCCGCAGGCTTAAAGTTGTCACATACAATGGTACACAGAATCTTTAATCTGTTTTGTTCATCCTTAGAAACTACTGTTTTTCTAATTGAACTCACTGTATTTTTACTGTTGTAACAGGAATAGCACTCTCAACAAGAAATGACTCAGTCATTGTTGTTGATCCCCCTGTTAGAGATGCTAGAAGTCTCAAAAATTGGTGAGCATTAGTATTCAGATACACATTTAGGTTCTCAAACAATACTTTTCCTCTGATTATCTATCTGCTCCGATTTCTATTATTATATATACACAGGGCATCAAGGAATGAAAAGGAACTACTTGCCCTCTGTCGTGATAAGCCGTACAATAACCAGTCTCCTAAAATGTTTTATGGCCCCCGGCAAAAACTAACTGAAATAAGAGATGTTTTGCCAACTGAAAAGGTAAGTTCCAGTTGTCTTTTATTGAATAACTTTCCATTCTGTTCTACTGTTTATTATAAATTAGGTCATAATATTCTCATTCTAAAAGGTTTCATGGGTCAAGTGCATGTTCTCTTTTGAGCACATACTGCAAAAATATTGGTATATGGCATGTGTAAAGTGCCGGCGTCTAACTTCCGCTGACTATGGATGCACTTATACTTGCAACCATTGCAATGAAAAGCAATCTGCTCAGCCAAGGCAAGATATTTATTGCAGTTTCTGAGTTTCTTTTATTCTACTGAATTTCATGCATAGATGTTCATTCCCCCCCTGCCGCACATTTATTGCAGATGTCGTTTTGATATTGACCTGACCGATCATTCTGACACTATTACGGCTTCAATTTTTGGTGAACAAGCTGAGACATTGCTAGGATTTACTGCTTCACAAGCAATGCATTACTTCAACAGGGTCTGAATTCGCATTTTCTTTGCTTGTTTTAGTTCTTATATGCCTAGAAGCTGAGCATATACATATATATATATATATATCAAACCATGACATATCATTGTTCTAACTTCTGCGAACCTCTTGTTTTTGGGCTGATAGAATGAAGACCTACCTTTAGCCAAGCTCCATGAAGAGTTGAAGAATAAGATGTTCATTGTACAGCTTAAACCAGGAAGCACCAAGAATGATGGATCGTATCAGCGTTACACTATTGTGTATTATTTTGAGGAAAATGCTGAGACTACCTCTGCTGAAAATCAGTTGCATCGTGGTTCAAATGCTAGCACTGGTATACTCCCTAAAGCTCTTATGTTTTGGGTGTAGATATGATGCTTTCAATATAGTTGCTTCCGTATATTAAATACCTAATTTTACTGTCCTTATAATTTCCGTTTGAAGCCAATGAAAGCTACCTTCAAATCACTACTGATCAGGCTCCTTCTTGTGTTGCTTCACCTCCAGGTATGTACTTCTTGTTTTTTTGTATATTAACTCACTTTCTTTAAATAATTGTTTTGAATGTCGAAATATTTTTTTTGCAGACAAAGAAGAATTGCCATCTAGAACACGCCGTTCTCTTCTAAGCAGTCTTGATGAATCTGAGGAAACTACTCCAAAGAGGCAGCGCAAGAAATGATTGTCAATTAGGAACTGTTGTGAAGCAATCTCTGACAGGCTCTTCAAACTACTTCTGTTATTAAGCTCGTAATGCTGAGCACTAAATTGTTTATCTAAAAATTCCTATCGTATTGCATCTGGTTACTTGTGTTACAGCATTAGGGATAGTTTGCAGTCTACCAGTTTTTTTTCGAAACTATGGAATTGCCTTAGCCTTTTCTTTTGTCAATGTATTCTGGAAGATCTTAAACAAGTAGTTTTTCCCAGGATTTTGTTTACCCGGGGTGCAGGTACTTGTGTCTTTACTCCACTGCAATATAATAGTGTAGATGGTCATTAAATGCATCAGAAGCGTGCCTGGTTCTTACCAAACATGATAGATATAACCATTTGCATGGTTAATGTTGATCCACTCTTGGACTTTCACCCATGTTCTATATAGGTTTGCCAGTTTGTTGTCTCAGTGACTATGCCAGAGACACCTCCAGCTAAGTTACAGGTCTAGCACCATACAGCTGAATACACCTGCCACCATTTTATCAATAGCCATTGATTACGCCTCTGCAACTTTACTCCTTTGTACTTCCATTCACCTACCATATTTACTCTCTCCTTGCTATTCCATGATTGAAGACAGAAAACTTCTCCAGCATATAAGGATACACAAATGTCTGAACATCTGCACTTTGCATGCTTAGATTTCTCTAGCCTTGCCGCAGCTCTTATTGTGGATCACCTCTTAGCATTTTCCCCACACGTTTTCTTCCTATTGTGCTTCCTGACTTGCCAATGACTACGCCAAAGAATCCGTTCAAAAAATGGTTAGCCGTTCCCCACCGCAACAAAACCAGGTTCTTTCTCTGCACTTTCAACAAAACAAAAATCCATGCTGCAACAATGGTTGAAACCCCTGGAGAACAGAACATGTGTTATATCAAAAAAAAATTCCTTTCGACTTATCCAAAAATACTAAACCATACAGGAGAGCCATCTTTATATTCCTTTGCCTCTATTACCCAATGGCTGCAGAACATAATCGACCTTTCTCCTGAAGCTTTTACAGCTACTGGTATACTTATATCTTTCATCTTCTGTATTAGTTACTTTTACGTTTCCTTTGTGTTTCACGCTATAACCTTGTCTATAGATACAGCCACCACTTTCTTTGAAAACGTACCAATAGGGCGACCATGGTGTTTTGTTCTTTTCTGTTCAGATAGAACCAAACAGGTTGGTTAAACAAAAAAAAATTCTTCTTTTTTTGCTTATTTGTTTCTCACATACTAATTTTTACTTGCCTGTTTTTCCCTTCTATAGAAAATCTCTACTGATCTATTTGAATCAATTAGACTCCAAGATGGCATGACAATTACGGTATACCATGGCCTTCGCTCCTGGAACATTAAAATCAAGGACGGATATTTTGAAGAAGGTTGGGAATTGTACTGTACAACTAATTTAATCCGCGAGAATGACATGGTCTTCCTCAGAATCAAAGGAATTTTATCCTACGATTCCATGGCTTTCTGCACTTCCCGATCACATATTCTCATGCCATGGACACTTCCTTTGCCTATGTTTCCGAGCATTGCACCCAATGTTGAAGCATCTGCTTTCTTGTTCAACCAGCATGCCTGTTTATGTACTATCACTTCCTCTATAAATCAGTTTCTGCAGCATGATTGGTCATCATTTGTTTCTTTCTATCAGTTTTATACAAGTCGCTCACAGCACAAGCTGGTAAGTACTTTCCTTTATACAATTTTCTTCACAAATGTATTTTTTCAGTTGTCTAACAAAAATTTTTTTTTCTTTTAAAATAGACCCTACCACGATACGCCGACCTTCGACTGCATGAAGGCACAACACCAACAATAATTCTTACAAGCGGCTATAAAGCATATTACATTGGCATGAAACACCGATCCTTCGACAAGAATTGGGCCACTTTTGCAGCCGAACATACTCTTTGCCCGGGAGACATATTACTTTTTATTCCACAATCAACAACCTCTTTTGGTGTTATCGTATTCAACGAAGCTGGCATTGAAAGACAATATCCATGGCATTTTAATTTCACTATTCCTCTAACTTAGCCTGTATTAAGTTGATGAATATTACACTACTCTTTGAGAACAATTTGTAGTTGATGAGTACTAGAACTATGCTCTATTCCACTTCCTTTTATGTATCTTGCTCTATTCTTAAGATCTTTCTTTATATGAAAATTATGTCAATTATATATCGTATTCTGTTTAGTTGCTATCTTTCCTATATCTTATTCTTAAGCTAAAAAAAAAATTTAACCATTGGTCTAACAAATCATATACTTGTCCGATATTTAATTTCCGCGTTATATGCTCGTCTGGGCATCTTTTTTTTTTATACCACCGCGCACAGCGCGGTTTATATCTCCTAGTACAACAACAAAGGGAGAGAGATGGCAGTTGGGGTAAATAGTTTGCGTCCTTTTTTGAACTTTCAATTTTGTTCTTAAAAAATTAAATCTTATCCTAACCACTTAATTACATTTGCTAATATAATCTCCTATAACTCCTTTACTTAAATAAAAATTGTAATTACCAAATTAACTATAACTGTGTTAAAGAAAAATATTACTAATAAATTACAAAATTTTTCATGACCAACTCATATAAATTTTAATTTTGTAAAAATAAAATTAATATAGTCATAAAAATTAATAATTATTTCCAAATTGCACATACTAAACCCTTCTCTTGTCAAAATTCAAACCGATTACATCATCAAATTTCAAGGGACCCACCACACTCCTCACCATCGTCGACTCAATCTGCCTCCTCTTCGGCGATTCTTTATTTTCCGATGCCTTTTCCTCCGGATTAGTTAGTTCTATTTATTGAACATAGATAATCCGAAGCAAGCGGCTAACTTGTGTTGGCAAACTTGGATATTTTTTACGGTGAGTCCTTTCCCTTCTGATTTTCTTTGCCCATTGTTCTACTTTTATGTTCAAATCCACTGCAATTTGTAAACCAAAATAAAAAATCAGCACATTCAGTTGTTATCAGTATGGAGGTTTCATTTCGATGAGTGAATAGATAAAAGGATTGAGTACAAAGGAATAATCTTTGCTGCTGCAAAACATGCAGAAAAATCAAAAAAAGTTTTGGGTATGAGTTGTTTTTCTTTATGTCGATTGGGGGTGGGGAAGGGGTTCGGGAAGCTAATTTGTACCCAGCAGAATTTGAACCCTGTTTTAACATTCAGGGCTTTTTTCTTTTTCTTTTTTTTAAGAGGTAGGGAGCTAATTTTACCGTATTAACATGTAAAATTTAAATCCTTTATGCAATCCTTTGTCACAATATTTGACTAGTGAGGAGTATTTTTTGTAATGCAGCAACAGGTGGCTGCGGAAGTAAGATTTATGCTGTGGCATTATCACTTGTCGAAAAACATTGCAGCAAAAATACACCCAATCCCCAGAAGGCTAAAGCCCCGTCTTTCATTTCCCTTTTCATCTAGTGGTCTCTATCCCCTTTGACTGATAAGTATTTTGATTTCTTTAAGGTAAGCCCTTTCTCCTTGTTTCTCGTTTGCTTTCCAATAAACTTTCTTGAAATATTGTTCAGAAACTCTGTTAATGTGAGTTAATGTATCTATTTACAGTGTCATTGTGCAACAGTCCTGTTATTTTGATAAAGTTATTGGGGAAATTGTTGTTATTCTTGGTATTTAGAAACTTTAGTGTCGTACATTTGGATCTTCATCAATTGCAAAATGGGCTTCTGTTGTCTTCAATATGGTCCCGGAATTAAGTGGTGGTCAGACATATTTATGTAGTCCATGTGCTTGATTCTTGATTTTGATGGGTTGGATGAGTGAAATGCTTTTCTTTGTTACTTTGCCATGTGGATTGTGAACCCATTAAGAATTTATCGATGAAAAGTTCACTTGTTCAAAAAAAAAATTATTTTGATTTTCTGATTCTGAAAATATGAAAAGTTCGCTTATTTTAGTCCTTGCATGCACCATGGGGGAGCAAATTGTGTAACAAAATCCCTTGTTGCCCAGTTGCATTCTGAAGTTTTTTGGTGGTTCAGTGGTTGATGTACCTTTGGAACATTCAGGTTGATTATGTGGTTTTTAAGTTGAGCTGATAAATCGAGCATCTATTGCTCAGTGGTTGATGTACCTTTAGAAAGAGACTGATGTTGCTTTCAGGCAATTTGTGGTTTTTAAATTGAGAAACTTATGAGAAACCATTTGAAAATTTAGCTGATTGGCTTGGTTAGTTTGAAACCATTGAGAAACTTATCTCCATCTTTCATTTCAAGTCTATATCTAAGGTTATAGGAGTGTGGTCTCTCTTTTTCAGAATTGTTAGTTCCTTATTGTCTATACTTCACATTGGTTGATCGAGTACCTGATAAAGGTTGAGGAAGGGAAGGGGGAAAGGAGGACAACCAGGTGTTTCCATTTTGAAATTGGTTTGAGGTTTGACTTGTTCCATAACTGCTACTCTTTTGATGTGTAGTTTGACAGGCAGATAAATTGCATGTAAGGGAAGGAAATATTTTACTTGTTAAATGAAACAGTCAATCTAAAGCGATGAAAAAGGTTGAAAGATGGTATCCCCATACTTATTAGCTCAGCAGAGGATTAAAGGAGAGTGACAATAGTCTCTGTATCACTTATTAATCCACGTCGGATTGAGAGAATGGCAGCCACACTGAGATGGGTGCTGCAGCTACACAAGGACGTGCCAAAAGCAGCAAAGCTCTACTCAGAGGGATTGGGCTTCACCGTCAACGTGTGCACTCTCCGTTGGGCTGAACTTGAACTCCAACCAGGCCCTCTCAAGCTTGCACTTTTGCACTCTCCCACATCCAGGTTTCTGTCTTTTTACTCTATGGTCTCTTCCTCATTTTTCTTGTTTTTATGGTTTAATTTTTCCCAGCTGGTAGAAAACAGGCGAATCATTACTTACTCATGCCTTTTAAATGAAGTCCCTACAATGACTACTTTTTTTTAATTTTTATTACTTTAAAACATTGCTTTTAGTATCTGTAAATCCTTTTCTATTTTCCTCTGAGGGAATGGGTTGTTAATGCCATCCTGAAGTAGGAGTTAGTGAATGCAATTCTGATGAGGAAAACTCTGCAAGTTCTGTTCATGTTATGAAGCTTCATGTAAACTTTAATTGAATATCAAACAGAGAACAAGTTCTCCTGTCACTTGCACCTTGCCTCAGATGTAGGTACAACTTTGAGGGTATGCATGATTGAGTAATGATTATTCTGCTGTCTAATGTAGAAAGTCAGTCATCCCTTTGTTATCCATTAGTGCAAGAGTTTAACGGTAGTATGCAGTATATCTTTGAAAAAAGCTTACAGTTTTGCTGATAGATGGTTATGCAGAATCTCTTTCGTCTGAGCTTCTGAGATAAAGTATGTTAACAGTGAGGAAGATTACACATCAAGCTTTTGGTTTGAAAGAGGTTATGAGAACACCTTGTGATTAATGATTTTCTTGTGTAACACTTCTGTGGGTCAATCCAAACGAGTTTCTAAAAATATTTACGTATACATGTAATAGACTTAAAATCATGATAGAAGAGATAGTCCTTAAGATACAGTCAGATGTGCCCCTTCCATCTTCACCAGTAGTTGAAGCAAGATGCGAATCTAGTATAGCAGTTATTTAGTTGAGATTTTCACTCACTGGAGCATTTAGCAATAAAGAATAGCTGTTACTTCAGTCATGAACTTTAGTGTATGAACAGGAGATTAGCACCAGTATAAACTTTTACATCACTGTATCCTCCTGTATGTGGTAGTAGTTAGGCAGGATTACATCACTTTTGGTGGTGGGCCTTTGTTTGCTTTCTACTTCACTGGAGGAGGAAGCCTTGGATGTTTTGAAGGTTGCTTTAACCTACTATTTTGATATTTTCAAAGATTAGAACTATGATCTTGTTTTGGTTTTGTTTTCATATGATGGGAGTGTTTCCATCCTGGTATATACACATTAGACCTTTTGACTTTTCCCCTTAAATTGTTTTTCCTGTTCATGATTTTCCACTGCCTTTGAAGTTCAGTGGCAGCTGACCCTAGTTTTACAGTTTGCAGAAGGGGTACTCATCACTACTATCCTTCACAGTAACCGACATTAGTAGTACAGTGACAAAACTAATGGCTTTGGGTGCGGAGTTAGATGGTCCAATCAAATATGAGATTCATGGAAAGGTGAACCAACTTCTGAGTTGCTGCATATGTATTCCCTTGGTTGAAAATTGTTTTTCTTAATGTTTAAGGTTTATATTCTATGTGTTTCAGTGTCACGACTACATTATCAGTAGTTTGTCTTTTGATGTTTATGGCAGGTTGCTGCTATGAGGTGTTTGGACGGCCACATGTTAGGCCTTTACGAACCAGCCTGACGGCATCCAAGGACCGCTTGCCTGCATCAAATCATGCTTAACCATTTTCTTTTATTGCCATGTTGCAAAATTGCTGCTCAGTGTAAAATACCAATTTTTCATTGGCATAGGATTTATGGATGGTATTCTGCTTTCTGAAAGCTACCACAGAAGTGAGATAGTTGAAGAGCATTTTGCACAGCTGATTTTTGGTGCATTTGGCATGTTTGTGGCAAGTGTCACAAATTTCATTGGCATGAGATTGCACAGAGAATTTGCCAGCTCTTCAACTTGACTGGAAATTATCAGAGGGATTTGCTTGTGTGGTTGTTTAGAGGATGATGCATCTAGTCTTTAACTTTGATTTTAATCTGCAAGCTGAAGACTTGTATCACCACACTCATGTCCACAAGTACCAGCTGGTAGGAATCTAACATCATATATGATGGTAAAGATAAAGAATCAATATTTAAATTTTTAGTTATACATTTTCTTACTCAACGTGAACTGATGTTTTTGTAAGAATAGCATTAGTGTTTGTGATCATGTCTTTCCCCTCCACATTTTGGTTTTATGTTTGTCTCAATAATTTTCTTAGAACTGTAAATAAATGTATGAAGTGGATTTGACTTTGTACTCTTGTGGAACCTTTTTTCTGTGCTTCAAGTCAAAAAAGTGGGACGCTAGAAACCCCCCAATCCATTTCATAGAGAAGACAGGTCATGCGTGATGAGATACATAAGAAAACCAAAGAAGAAAAACCGAGAAGGATCAAAATATTAACTTCTAAGGGAAAGACAATGTAGTGGAATGAAAATAGGAAGAAAAGTTGATGGAAGTTTATTATAGGGTTATTTACACTTGACCCCCCTTAGTCCTTGAGTGTAATCACGGTTCACCGCGGCATACTTGAGGGATGTGTGCACATGTAAATAATTTCTATATTGAAGATAAAATTTTATTAAATACTTTAAACATTAGAAGTATTTGGCCTACAGAAACTTAAATGAAAAAACAAAAACAAATATTTCAGAATTCAAAGTAATTTTCCACATTAAAATGTTACATGAAATGAAACTATTTTCTTTTGATTTTAAAATATTGCCACATCTATCATACACATTACATGAAATATTACAATTAACGTGGAAAATGATCTTATAAATTATTAGAGGTGTCAATCGAGTTTTTTAAGTTGAGCTTAGCAAACTCAAGCTCGATTCACAAGTTATATGAATTTTCAAATTTCGGACTTTCGAGCTTTAGACTCATATTTAAAAGTCTCAAGCTCAACTCGCACTATTATATGAGATTTGGGCTCAAATCGGGCTTGACCCAAACTCATAATTAAATATAATATATATTTCATAATTATGAATCAATACAAATTTACATATAAATTATTAATATTTTATGTTGTAATATGCACTAGTATTCAAGGCACACACTAATGTATGTTCAACTACTAGAAAAAATATTTGTAAAATATTTTGAGTATATTTATTGAAAACATTTTCAAGAAAATTAGTTTTATATTTTGAAAATACATATGTAAAAAATTCACCAAAATAAAAGTTATAAAAAATAGTTATTTGGTAGTATAACCATAATTGGTAGTTGCTAATTAAACTTAATATTTACTAAATAAGTTGAAAAATAGAATATAAAAAGTACATATTACTTGATAAAATATTATATTAGTAGTGGGGAGATATTAAAGATAGATAAGATCTTTGTTTATACCAAAAATTCCTTCATCATCAAGGATAATTTAGAAAGAGATAGATCTTTATTTATCCCAAACTCCCTCCTCTCCCTTTATATATAGTATGGATAATTATAAATTATAAATATTATATTATATATTTTACTTATATAATTATATTCATATATGGACCAGACTTTAATCGAACCTAAGTGTAGTATAGCCTAACCTCAACTCACATTAGTTTGGGACTAATATTCAGGCCCAAACTCTGTCCAACCCAATTAAAACTTAGACTCATTGAGGTTTTTTCAGGCCAAACTGACCGAACTCAAATTGGCCCGACCCCATTGATAGCCGTATAAATGATTACTCAATGTAGATTTTAATAAAGAATAGATTAATTGTAAAAAGCCAAAATATATGCAATTGAAGTGAATGCATAGTAAACGCAAAGATTACGGTTGCAAGTAATTAAATGTATTCATGGGAAAACTTCAAGAAATACTTCTACTTTTGCAAATGGTGAGATTTCCAGTAATATTTTTATATCTTATCCCTTTTTACAGTATGTTCATGTTTATACTCTGCCCTTAATTTATCAAATGGCAATATGTGGGCTTTTCACTACATTTAAGTGTTGTTTTTGTCCATGTCCACCATAACTTTGTGCCTAAAGAATAAATTTTCCTTAAGAGTAATATTTAGCTTTTGGAGATACTATTTCTAATTGTGTATAGTTCTAAAGATTAGCACGGTAAAATGTGTTACAAGACCCAAACTTCAGGGAGTTAAACTGCAATTTACTATTTGTGTGTGGGATAGGTATGGGATGGGCGGGAGGATAAAAATAAAGAAACTATTCTTTATAAAAATCAACAGCTAGTTTTACAGTGACATGTTAATATTTTTTTTTTCTGTTCCTTTGATTTAATTACAATGGTTAATTACACTTTGCTCCCTAAACTTGGGATAGAGTAATACTTTGCCCCTAACTCAAAAATACGTTCACTTTACCCATTGCACTGATGATTGGGTAATATATATATATATATATATATGTATATGTATATATATTGCCATGGACTTAAGATATACACACTTTGCGCAAGTTATTATGTAATGACTGAGAATAAAATTATCTTTTATATCCCCAAAACTACCCCCAAGCTAATTGATTTACATGTGGAATACAAGCTAAAAATTGAGTGATAGTCATTTTGTGATTTACTAATGATGCACTACAGATTTGTTGAAATCCAAAATTATGTGTTACAACAACCAAAAAAGCCCAAACTTCAGTCACCATAAATTATTAACTCAAGCAATTGAAAAAAACTTAGAGTCAAAATAACGGAAATGATCATTTGTAACGAAACTCATGAAAATGTTGAAATTACGCTTATTTAAAAACTAAAATGGTTGAAGTGACCAAAATATATAAACATAATATACATGACACTCTAACCCCATATGATTTTATGTTTTATCATATAACCCCATTATAGTTTTCAAAATAAATACATAACTCTTATGGTTAATAAATAATTTTCAACTTTATATAAGGGTACTTTTGACAGTTTAGTCGATTCCATTATGGAATGCAAATTCTATCATTTTGACATTTTAATCCAAACCATAAGAGGGTTATGTATAGTTTTTGAAACCATAGGGGGAACTATGTGTAAAAGTGCTAAACCACAAGGGGGTAAGTGTATTTTACCTATTCGATAAGCTGCAAATGTGGTATAAAGTCATTGATCAGTATTATAGGATCCAACCAATTACTTCATGGATTTAAGCAAATTGGTTATTGACATTAAAGAGGAGTGGTGCAAGAATCCAACAGTAGTTTTATGATATTCTTTTTAACATTTATAGCCTAAAAATATAACCAGATTCCCTATACTATGTTGTTATTAATTAACGCATTAATTGGTTTATATAATGTAAGCTAAGTGTGCCATTTTCCTCGAGATCACAATGGAGACCGGGGTAAAATGCAGGGTGGGGAGCAAATCTCGCCTGCTTTAAACGGGGTGAGGAAAGATACCCTTGCCTCATCTCATATCCTACTTCCCACCCTTAATTTACACACACACATAATATAATATAAAATACATAATAAAATATAATTATATATATATGTAATATGAAATGAATAATATGATATTTTCTTGTGATAATATAATATAATACAATATTTTTGTTATTTTTTTTGTGGTAAAATGATAATTTTGTTAGATCTTTTTTTTTGTTATGGCATGTTGTTTATAAAAAATAATGATAATTGATTTAGAATTTATATAATATTAAATATAGAGAAACGGATTCACGAGATCAAAATAATTTTTAAACTTTATCTCATGTTACATTTTTTCTAGAAAATTCAAAGGAATGATTAGTAATTCTTTTATTAGTTTTATACGTATATAAAATAAAGTCACATAAAAAAAATAGTAGCAAGATTGAAGTCAAGTGATGGAGGTAGCGGGGGACGTGGCGGGGCAGGGTGAGCTTTTAGGTGACTAGGTAGGGGATAGGTGGGTTATCTAAACTTGCGAAACCCATATTTTTCCTCTTAACAAGTGCTGGATATCCTACATAAAGGGAGGGTAATAGTGTCCATACAAAAATTTTATGTGGACATTGTCATCATTTATTAAAGGCGGAGGTTGGATTAGGTGGTAAGATGGGAGGAATTGTAAATAAGAATTTCGGAATTCAAGACCTCCTATGTACCAAAACAAAAACGTAGCTAAAAAATTTGGACATTGCCATCATCTTTTTGAATTTTCAAATGAGAACTTTATGTATAATGTTTGACTTTGACTAGTCATTCTAGGGAACAATTTGCATATATATTAAGTTTAAGAGGGCAAAATATAATTAATCCTAATTGTACTATAATATTTTCATGCAAAAATGGAAAATTTTGTTATTATTATCTGTACATTGATTGTGTTACTAAAAACCAAAGTCTGACTATTGACATACATATCAGCACCAGCTTTATGAGCTAATATAGTATGTAATTAATTCTATTGTCTTATACATATTGCACTTTAAAGCCCTTGATATTTGAATGTGCTCCTGCTATCTCTGCTCTAGATCTGCATTCTAATTCAAGTATGTAACATATATTTTCTTGAATTTCTTTTGAGTGATTTTGCCCCTATATTGTCCTCAATCAATTTGTATCATATCAAAAGGTCTCTATTTTCTCAAGCTTGCAATTCATTGTTAGATTTTTTCTCTCAAATTTATGTTTTATTTACATACAATTTATATGATTCTAACACCCATTAGATATGATGTGCTTTTTCTCATTTTTCAGGACTTTCAGAGTATTTATTTTATAATCCTACATATTTTTATAATTTTCTTTAACTAGTTTTAATTCTTTTTTTCAGGTAGAAGAGATAAAAAGCTGCAAAAAGGTTAAGGTACTCTATTACTTCTCATTAATCAATTTTTTCTATTTTTACTAGAATGATATATTATTCCATGAATTTTCGTATATATGCACTAGTAGATCTCTAACTAAAAAGTATAATAGCATATAGAATTTGATTGTAGTACATAATAAAACACATTGAGATGCATCATAAATGTAGATTTATTGTCTTTAGAAAAAAATGTACTTATTGAATTTAATGTACAGCTATACATTGATGCGAGTGCCATTATAGTTAACACACACACACACACATGTATATATATATAAAAGAGAGTTTTAGTTGTCTATAAGTATAAAAATACCAATACACTCAAATATGAGATGTGAACACATTTATTTAAAATTTGATTGAACTACACATCCTAAATAATTAACTAATTCCATCATAAACAAATGGCTAGATGATTGAGCTTTATTATTCACTTAATATGAAATTTAAATAGAATTTTTTCTCAAGATAGTCTATATTTG